GATTGATGGTGAGGGAATTGGCTTCTCATCCTACTTCCACTTCTAGTATTAAACTACAGCAAGAGTAGATCAAACAGATTAAAAAACTGCATATGATTTTCAGAATTCACGGATCTCAGATATTCTCAGCCATCAAACTGGCTTTGCTCATAGTGTTTCTCTTAATTGCTTAGCCATCGTTGCTTCTGTTATGTTAGTAGGTTAAGATAAACACACATCTACATAAAACATTATTTCCAATAAATTCTGATTTCTGTGAACAATAAGAAAAAAGAATCATTATTTGAAAGAGAATATAATAAAATGTGTTCAGATATGCTGATGGCTTGATTTAGTTTCATCTTTAGGAACAATGGGAAATCATTAGAAGCAAGTGTAGTGCTGGCTGACACCTGATTGCTCCGGACCTGCGCTAAGTGAAAGCAATGCCACTTTAAAGGCAGAATCAACTTCCCATTTCCCCCTGATGTTCCGTTCAGCTCTACAAAAACAGATCATGGGCTAGTCCCCGGAAGATAATGTCATGGTCCCCATCCTCCAGATTTTCATAGTCCCTTGGGGAAGCAAGGCATGGAAATAGAGTGAAGCAAGTCAAATACTACTGTACAAAGTAGAAAGGAAGCCATGCTAAGAGAAGTTCAGGGAAAGGCTTCATAGAATTGATGATTCATGAGCAGAAATTTTAAGAAAAGTTCATTAAGTGAACATGAAGAGAAGGCTGATTGAAAAGAGATAAAGATGTGAAGTCATAGAAGTGTAACATAGCCTGGTTAGGCATGGCTCAGTGGTTGAGCATCAACCTATGAACCAGGAGGTCACAGTTCAATTCCTGGCAGGGCACATGCCCCAGTTGGGGGCTTGATCCCCAGTGTGGGGCGTGTAGGAGACAGCCAATCAATGATTCTCTCTCATTATTGACATTGCTCTCTCTCTCCCTTCCTCTCTGAAATCAATAGAAATAGATTAAAAAAAAAAAAAAGCTACATGAGTGTGAGTACTTGGTGTTGCTGTGGTGCCAAGTCTGCAGAAGTGAGGGAAGAGAAATTAAAGTGGGAGGGGGGTGAGAGGGTCTAATGTAGAGAAAGGAAGGAAGGGGCTGGAAAGGAAGGCTGTAACTGCACTGTGTAGGGCCTTGGGTTTTATCTTTAGATGGTGGAGAGACACTGAAGATGTTTGAGCGTGTCGCTTTATGGTCAGATTTGCATTTTGGAAGGTTATTTGTGGCTGGCTTCTGGAGAATGGTGTGACAGGACCCAGACTGTGTGGTAGCGCGGAGCTATAGTTAAAAGGGTAATCTCGTTAGGGTAGGTCAATTGAGTGATGAGATGATTTTCTGGTGTATAACATTCTATCGATGCATACCTCTACTGCCATGTTTTAAAATGTCAGCAGATTGGGAACATTTTTAGTATTCAGTAGAACTAATTCATTGTTACTTTTATAGTTTGAAGTTCTTCATGAAATTAGTAGCAATGAAAACTTGAAAGAAGGTTAGCATTTTATTTGTCCCTGAAATTAAACCAGCAAACTTCTCACAAAAATTTTCATAGTTATTTATAATTTTGCTATATAACCTGGAATGTAACTTTATAAAAATGTAAGGTAATAAATTGTAATATATACACATGTAGTTATTTGTGGAAATTATGCATATTTGAAAACAAGTGAATGATGTCATAGTTCAGGCATATCAAATTATTTGTTGATTTTACATTTGTTGCTGACAGTCATAACCAAGACTTTGGATTAATTCAAGTCATGGAAGAAGTGACTGATATTTTTAAACAGAAAGTTAAATTCCAAATTGAGAAAGAGTGAAAATATTTGTTAGGAAAATTTAAATAGCCATATATGTATATCAGACTGTAAATTTGAAAAGAGCATGTGTTAAAATATCATTGCAAATCATATAGTTGGAAAAGTATATTTTAAAATGGTTTTAAATGATCTCACAAAGAATATGGCTTACAAGTCTTCTTACCAAATCTTGCATAAATCCTCAGTTCTTTTAGTTACCTCAACAGTAAACAAAATTCAGTTGAAGAAATTAGAACATCCATAGCATGTGTGTGTGTGTCGGGGGGGGGGGGGGGGGCGGCGGATAAATTAATAGAGGACTACATCTTTTTCTTTATTAACTCAAGATTTTTTAAATATTGCTATTTAAGTACATATAGTATACAAGATATGATGAATGTTAGGTTGTATGTCCTATAATCAGTTAATGGAATAATGATTAGTTTCCATGATGCATTTTCTTCAATTCAAACCAGTGTTCAGGAATCTGACTCATTCCTTACTATTAGCTAAACTTTCTCTACTTATGCAGCTAGAATATTATCAGTGCCTATAGTTTTAGGATTGCAAGGTTATTACTCTGCATTTCATGCCAGATTATATTTAAGTTTTCAGAGGTCACATTGAGGTTTTAGGGGTAAGCATGAATTTGCTGTGCCTAATTTTTAAAAGTTAAAAACCCCCAAACCATTTCATAGACACCCCTTCCCCACAATGATAATGAATGTAGTGTAATACTTTGAGGAAACTATTTTTTAGCAAAATGTATTTTCACTACATATTCACCCTTCATAGGTTCTGCTAGGGGAATCAGTGGTGACATGTTTCAAAGCAGAAATCTTTTCATGCTTATTTTTTTACTATTTAATGAGATTTCAGGTATATTTTAACAACAGGGGTTTCCCTGATGAATCATTAAAGTAAGTGAGTGGGCTGGAAGGTAACACTAACTTTTCTCAGTACTGCCCTATTTTATCCTGCTGGGTTATTAGTTGCTTTTTAAATAGAAGCTGCAAGTGTTGGAGTTGGTGGGTGGAGGTGCAGAAGGAAAGGGGTCAGTCAGAAAATACCAGGTAAACCTCTGATGACCTATTGGGAAATCCTACTCAACTTTACTTTCCCCACCTTAAAGCAGTTAGTGTGTAAGCTCACTGGTGTTTGCCCTGCCAAGCTTACTTTTCCTAATATTGCTTATAGGTGAATAGAAAATAGAGTTTCAGTAATTGGTGCAAGTGTAAGGTATCAAGCCATATGCACATTAACCTGTGGAATCAATTTCTCATGTGTGTGGGATTAAAACCGTTAGAACCATCGTCACTGAAACTATACCTTCCTACAACTAATAGCAGTAAGGTGTCTGTGGAATATATTCATACAACGATTCCTCTGATTTAAAATTTTTACTTGGTATTTGGTTGGAAATTTATTTAAATATTATAGGTAACCCAATTGACATCATGGATGCGGGCTAATTGTAGGTTTCTAATGTGATTTAGGATAACTTTTAGAAAGTCCACACGATGTATTTCTACTTAGCACATCTTTTTCAATACATCAGTGACATATTGTGATTTTCCTTTATCTGTAGTGTAAAAAAAAAAAAAAATACTCAACTACCACAGCAGTTGTAAGTGCTAGAGTAGGTAGACAAAAATGTAGTTCACCTTGAAAATGTTCATGGCTCAGGGAATAAAGAAATTGGGTCAAGCTGGAAATAAACGCAGGTACAATGACGAAAAGTTTTAATAACAATTTAAAAATATTCACAGCATTGGTTTCAGGCTACTTTTGTTCTCAGTGACCTAACCAATGCATTATTAGTGTTTAACTGAAATGACTGGTGGCACATTCTTATTTTGGTCAAAATGTTTCTCTGGAATACTCTTTTGATTTCTCACTTTTCATCCCCTTTTAATTATTAATACAAACTTTTTGGAAAAGCTGATAATTAGATCATTTTGACCTCTGGTGATCTTAAATAGAATTTGAAGTTGTTCAAAATTTCTATGTCATAACTATCATATTTACTCATTTTATATTGCCAATTTAGTGTTTAGCATGTAACCAGGTATCATTAAATCATACTATAAATAATGAATTAAACTTCCATAAAATTTAATGGTATAGTAGAATCTCACTTATTGGTATCACTGGGGAATAAAATATGCTGAAAAAATGAGGTTTTTTTTGTTTTGTTTTTTTTGTTTTGTTTTTTTAACTGAAGTTTACTTGTTTAAGTAGAGAAATTTAAAAGTTGATAAAATTTTTTTAAAAATTTATTTTATTGAGAATATTACAGATGTCCCCCATTTTTCTCCCTTTGCCCCCTTCTACCAGGCTCCCACCCCCACCCCAAAAAATGTTGATAAAATTTATCCAAAACATTGTATATGCTCTTTTAGGGAGAGCAGCATATAAATGGCAAAAATGAATTGGCTGTTTATTCTTTTCTTAATGTCATAGAATACCATCATTATAGTGTCATGAGGAAAGGACTTGTGCTTTCTGATTGGTATTTTTTTCTCCAATGTAAGAAGTATTTTGTGTGTGTGTGTGTGTGTGTGTGTGCGCGCGCGCCATTTCTTTCTTTTAAAATGCCACACCCTACTTCTGATAGACTTATGCAGTTTAAATGTTTCAAGGGTTTAATATCTGTGATTGTACTTGTGCAAACGCGTTAATAGATGCATTCACCCAGGCACCCATGTAAGATCTTTGTCTGCATGTCCGTTCACCCACCATCTTTTGGCAAACACGTGGTCACTGCCACGAAGGACCTCTGCTTGTTTCGGAGTAAGAACCTTCAGTGTTGGGGCCCTGCTCCTGCCGCTCCCGAGGACTCACTCTCTGGTACCCCTTCCTAATGTGCAAAACTGGCTGTGTTCACCTGACTTGCTTGTGAGCATCTGTGGTATCAGGATGACCGATGCAGTTTTCTGGGAGTCTTGCTAAAATGGGCAAATAACACACTCTCTTTATCTTTCAACAAACTCTAGCATAATGGCAAAAATCCTTTTTAACAAAGTGTTTTTTTAACCTCATGTTTATGTGTCTCAAGCAATGTTTTCTAAAACAAAACTAAGCACAGCTTAAGCATTTGAACTGTTCTTTAATGTGCTGTAATGACATTTGGTTTAAATCTTATATTTAAAACTCAGCTTCCTTCTTTTGCGTGTACCTAATGGGTATCATCTTTCTTCCAGGTTGTGCTTTAAGAAGACCACAGGGAAGAACACATTTTCTTCTTGCCACAAAAGTTGCAATAGAAGTAAGTGGGGGAGCTGCCAGGATATGTCTGTCTCCACAAAACAAGCAGAACAAATTTCCATGAATCAAAGCCACTAAGTATAGTTTTCAGAGATGGTAGGACATAGTTACTCTCCCTAGAAAAATACCCCAAATGCAGGCACACCCATTGGCCACTAGCAAAATGCTCAAGTAAACGCCAGTTCAAACCTGTGCATTTCACTGTTCTTACTGAGCTATTAAAGGGGTGGAAAACTTCTATAGCTATAATCTTTTTCCCCCCCTTTTCTATTTTTCAACCTCCCACATGCTCGGTGTTCAGTTCTGCGTACTGATTCTCTTGAATCTCCAGCAGCACCTACACATACTGCCTCCACAGTTTGCAGATAACTCATGATTCAGGCCCATAAGAAACATCTGTAACTATATGGCATAATACGTGCTCTAGATTAATCATGGAAAAGGGTAGAGTAATGAAAAATCAGAAAGCTCGCCCCCCCCCCGCCCCCCCCCCCCCCCCCCGCTAAAGTCAAAGTTGCTTTGTTTGAGGTTTATATGAGTGAAATATTCTTTAGAGTGTTTTTTTCCATCCTGTCACTTGAGGAAATATCTCAGGTGATTTTTACAAGCTTCTTTTAGAGACCTTTTAAGAATAGACAGTGCATATACACCTTAGCATGATTAGGTCAGAGGAAATAAAGCAAGATGGTAGATATCTGTGATGTGATCTAGTAAGCCAATTAATGTTAAGCTGCTTTTATTCTCTCTTTCTTGAAACCTTTGATATCATTTTCAAAACTGCCTTTTATTGCTCTCTCTAGTTACTTTCTAGAAGCTTCTCTCATTTGAAGGATTAATGGCTACCGTTTTGTTAAACTTGGAGTGTGATTAGAGTTGAAGCCTCTCCCCAGCTGGCCTGAAAAAATTTGAGCCTCTGCATAGCTCAGCCTCTGAGCTTCCTTCTTAGCCACAAAACCAGTGGCGCCTTTAAAATCATATTTGCTGTGCAAGCTGCTGTTGAGGAATGGGTAACACCCACTGTTTACCAGTTGCATGTGTGTCTCTATCTTTCTGACCCGTCCTTGGTGGATAGGAGGTCATGATTAAAAATTACTCATTTTAAAATGCTGGATGATATGAAGATATTCTTTGTCCTTAAGTAAGGTGATTTATAGTCATAATGGGAGGAGCAAAATACCTTATTACTGATCATAAACTACTGTGCCACAATTTTATCTTCACGCCTCTGTGGTTATGTCTGGTGTCCCCACTTTAGGGAAGGTGCGACTGAGGCCCAGAAAGTGAGGTAACTTGTCCAAGGTCATTCAGCTAGGAAGTGATGGAGCCAAGCTCCAAATTTATATCTCCCTGACCCCGGGTTTATGCCTTTTCCATCCAAGGAACACTGTTTCTCATTTTGCAGATAATTATAACATGTTTGTATACTTGTCCTCCAAACTGCTCCTCGGGTGACTGAGAGATCAAGAAATAAGCTTTTATTCACTTCTGGCACTTTTTTGAGAACCATTTGAGACTTTTTGCTTTGGAATGCAATTTAAGAGGCATGGCTTTGTCTGAGCAAGGTGAAGTACAGTTTTACTAGTGAAGATCACCCCTGCATTGTTTAGACTAATTTTATGGAACAAAATTATTAGGAAAAGGAATATGCCATTTTTAAGTGGTGTTTTCTTTAGTCATAAAAGGACATTCACACCTATGGAATATTTTTTATTTTATTTTTTAAAAATGTTTTTATTTACTTTTTAGAAAGAGGAAGGGAGAGGGATATATAGAGAGAAACATCAATTGGCTGACTCCTGCATGCCCCTTAGTGGGGAGTGAGCCCCCAACCTGGGCATGTGCCTTGACTGGGAATCAAACCGTGACCTTCTGGTTCATAGGTGGATGGTCAACCACTGAGCACACTGTCCAGGCTGGTGTATTTTTTAAAGCAATATTTTTCTTCCTTACTTCCAATAGGAAATAGCATATACATTGAAATGTATATAAAAGTTTTTATATTCTTACATATATTTTTATTTCACTAGCACATTAACAAAAGTGATACTATTCAAATAAAAATTTCTTGCTAACCAGTTCTCTGTGATGAAAAATTTACCATGTTTTTAATGATAACATTATCCCTCAGATTTGTTAAGGAAAGGTTGTAGAAACCTTGTTGATTCACTGGCATATAGCTTTACTTCATTTCGTTGGTCTTTCTTTGGGAGTGGGCTATATACAATTGTGAGGAAGTGGTCAACGTATGTCTACTGTCTTAAGAAATTGTATCCTAAGATTTATAACACTAGAGAATTGAGATTTGAATATGAATGTGCTCTCTTATAAATATGGGTTCATTGAGGGTAGTGATAGCTGGTGAATTTAAAAATGGATTAACATGAGAATTACAGAATCAGAGACTATCTGAACTGGAAGGGCCTTACCCATGAAGGGCTCTTGGAGAAGAAGACAGTCCAAGACTCAATACAACTCTAGGCCAAGCCAGTCTGGAGTTTACTGAGTCCGATCAAAGCCGTTTCAACTAGGAAGTAGTGACCACAGCAGGAGAGGGACTTATACTTCCTAAGGTAGGAGGGAAACTGAGTCCTTCTGGAAGTAATCTTAGGGCATGAAGAAAACAAATCAGGAAAAGAAAACATCCTTCATGTCCTCTTACTAACATGAATGATGCAATCATATTGATTGCAAAAATACCAACCTTAAGTGTTATATGCTTTGTTAAATAGTGGGACACACGTATTTCTTATAAAATAATGCATCTATAAATTATTTGTACTTACTGGGTATAATATCTTAAGTTATTTGTATTTAAAAAATCTTTCTACACATACACATATATTTGAAAGATGCATTTTTTTGCTTATTATCTAGAATCTGAGTCGGGTTGAAGGGCCAATGAGTATTCTCCTCATTGAAGCATTCTATGGAGGGTCCCATAAACAGCTGGTGGACCTGCTCCAAGAAGAATTGGAAGACTGTGTCCTTTACACTCTTCCTGCAAAGAAGTGGCATTGGAGAGCGCGGACATCGGCTTTGTACTTCTCTCAGCACATTCCCGTCAGTGAGCATTACAGGTAATCAGCCTGCAGGCTGCATCTCCAGTTTTTTTCTAAGGTCCCTGTGTAAGGATGGTGCTTCTCTATCGGAGTCCGTGAGGTGTCCTCCGGCTGGAACTGGTTAGTACGACACCAGTACAGACAGCAGAGAGCAGGGGAGCACTTTGCACTCTCAGGGCCCCTCCTCCATGGGAAAGTGCCCACATTTAGAACCTACACGACTCTTCTCCTTTGTCTTGCGATTGTCCCATATGCACGCATGTGGGTCTGGATGACACTTTTTGGCCGAGAGAGTTGGTCTTGAGCTCTGTTTTATTTTTTTGGCTCCACAACCTCCAATGCCTCCACAACAGTGAATATGCTGTTTTAGTTGAGTTTATTGTGTCTGCTCTATGCTAGGAACTAAGGTTTCAAAGATGGATATGACCAAAGTCCGTGCCCTTACAGGCTTGAAGGACTATTGAGATAGAGATAGACACGTGCATGAAGTGAAAGTATGGAAAATGGAGAAGTTGGTTTTAACTGTGACAAACTGGAGGTGGCTTTTTATAGTTGGGAGCCTTTGTTTAATCTTGAAGGATGAGTGGATCCGGAGACCTCACTAATGGATTCTGATTCTCACTAATAGGGGCATCTATTAGAAGGTCTTATGGGTAGATAAAAATGCTGTGGTACATTTACACAATGGAATGCTACTCAGCCATAAAAAGGAAGAAACTTTACCCTTTGCCACAGCATGGATGGACCTGGAGAACAATGTGCTAAGTGAAATGAGCCAGTCAGAGAAAGACAAGTGCCATATAATTTCACTCATATGTGGAATCTCATGGACAAACTGAACTACCAAGCAAAATAGAGACAGACTCATAGAAAGCAGGCAGACAGCTCTGGTGGTGGTGGTGGTGGTGGTGGTGAGGTGCTGGGGAGTACAGGGATTGAGCAAAACAGAAACAGAGAGAACTGAGACATGGACAACAGTGTGGCGATTGTAGTGGGGGAAAGGGAGGTAGAGGTGGAAGACGGTATAGAGGGGATAAATGGTGATGGAAAAAATAAATATATTAAAAAAAAGAAAGTCTTATGGGACATATTGAAAAGACGGATGAGAAATACTGATTATAGTCCTAGGAGGAATAAGTAGAATGGAATCCCCTTGGACATTTCTACCTCTTTATTCTGTTTGTATGCACTGCCGAGTATCTCTTGATTGTTAAGTTAGTGAAGATTATCCTGCTGTGGGTTACATATCTGATGTTCTTGCCACCCTGGGCAGGATGGCATGGGTTTAGCAGGAGTGGAAGTGCCAGGCTGATAAAGAATGGAGTTAGCAGACAGGTTTTTAGAGAAAGGGCACGATGCCGGCTGCAGTGCCCACCTTGGCCTCTGTAGCCATATCCCTGCTGTGCGTGAGGTGGAGCAGTCACAGGGAGACAGGAGCCTGAAATTTAAATGTAGGTTGCTGTGCTTAGTAGTGATTTGAAGAGTTCAGAGAACAACGCTTTTGGTGAATAAAAACCGTGCATCGTCTCTGAGAATTCAGGTTGCAGATGGAATAGTTGTGGGCACTCTAGTCACATTGCTTGCGATTCTAAAGGTAAAACATGGTTTGGTGGCATATTAAGAATTTTGTATTTTTCTAATCTAAACTGTATTTTTCCTTACATAATTTAACGTTTTGTATTCTCATATGACTACTAGTAAGTGAATATTGTTGATTCACTAATAGTATGAGACATATCAATGAATGGATCCGTATAAAAGTTTTAAAGGCAATGATAAGACTATTGCTGTATTAAAATCTGACTGTTTATAGTTGCTTTCCCATCTCATTTAATTGTTTTTGCTGCACTGGTTATGTTTGTATTACTTGAGGTCAAGTAATTTGGCTGACTTTATGGTGGCACGTTTTCATTTAACATTACCATTTGATATAATAAATTTCTACAGTGACTTGAACATTGAAATGAATCAATGCTGTATCTGCTATCAGATTTCATTTTGATTATGCAGTTTTTCAGAATGAGAGGATTGTATTACAAATACATGTATGTAGATGGCAGGCAAACCAACACTTCTCTGCCCACTCCCTCTTAGGCCTGAAGCATTTGAGGATAAACCTCACACTGCTGTTTGAAGCAGGCTTACGTGGGAAGTAGATTTCTGAGAGATCGTGATGTCGCCAGAACCTCCAGGTCCCCACCGTGGTATCTGTGATCTTTCAGGGTCAGCCATATAAGCCATGCAGTTAACTCTGTTCATCTAATCAGACTTCACTAAGAGATAGAGCTCACCAGTTTAACTTACCGTTATATTTGACCAATGATAACGTGTAACTCTTTACCAAATAGCTCTTTCAAATACTTTTGGACAGATAGCAGCAGCTTGAAAACTTACAGTAAGTTAAAAAATATGTTCACTCAATCCTACATTGAGGTGCTAGAGCAGGGGTGGGCAAACTTTTTGACTTGAGGGCTGCAATGGTTCTTAAACTGGACCGGAGGGCCGGAACAAAAGCATGGATGGAGTGTTTGTGTGAACTAGTATAAATTCAAAGTAAACATCATTACATAAAAGGATACGATCTTTTTTTTTCTTCGTTTTATTCATTTCAAACGGGCCGGATCCGGCCCGCAGGCCGTAGTTTGCCCACGGCTGTGCTAGAGTAATCTTTTAAAAAAATATATATATTTTTATTGATTTTAGAGAGGAAGGGAGAGGGAGAGAGAGATAGAAACATCAGTGATGAGAGGGAATCATTGACTGGCTACCTCATGCACTCCCCCCACTGGGGACTGAGCTTGCAACCTGGGCATGTGCCCTTGGCCAGAATCGAACCCGGGACCCTTCAGTCCACAGGCTGACGCTCTCTCTACTGAGCCAAACCAGCCAGGGCTAGAGTAATCTTCTATTACCCCAGGTTGATCTGATCTCTGCAGAGACTTTTAAAGGTATGAAAGGTTTTTGTTTTCCAGTTACTTTTTCTTTGTACATTTGGGAAATGAAACCATCAAAATTCATAAAGAAAAAAATGAATAAGCACTAATCTTGCCTACTATGCGAAATCACTGTGAACCAGTAGGAATGTGTCTGATGAGAAAGGCCTTGAGTGCAGGCACACATGTTATTTTCTAACTTCTGTACATGTAGTCACTGTTAGAAGCTTGTTATGTGGAAAATATGTTATTACTAAAAGGATAAATGCTTCAGCTTAATTCATCAGTTTGGGTCTACTTCATCTTGACAGCTGAAAGGATGCGTCTTGCTCCACATTTGGTGCTGTATAATATTATTATAGATTACAAAAGCTCCGGACGTTATTTTTCTCAGAAGTAGTGGGTAATTATTCTAACTTCTAGGTTATATGAAAGCCTTGCCCTCTGGAAACTGCAAAATGCAGAAGGATGTTTTTGGGGATATGCCTTAATTTTGTATTCTGAAATGTGTGTCATTTGTTCTAGGGTCAACCTTTCTATTTTATTAAAATTAACTAGAGGCCTGGTGCACAAAATTCATGCATGGGTAGGGTCCCTGGGCCTGGCCGGCAATCAGGGCCGATCGGGCTTTCCGGCTGCTGGCCAGAGCCTTACTTCATTTCGTGCTGCCCCCTGGTGGTCAGCACACGTCATAGCAAGCAGTTGAACTCCCGGTCGGTCGAACTCCTGAGGGGACAATTTGCATATCAGCCTTTTATTATATAGGACTAGAGGCCTGTTGCATGAAAAGATTCGTGCAATAGGCCTTCCCTTCCCCTGGCTGCTGGCACCGGTTTTCCTCCGGCACCTAGGACTCAGGCCTTCACTCCAGCCGGAGCCGCCTTCAAGCCTTCGATGCTCCACCGGAGCCGCCTTCAGTCTTCGCTCTGCCGCTTCGCGCCTACGTATGCAAATTAACTGCCATCTTTGTTGGCAGTTAATTTGCATATCACTCTGATTAGCCAATGGTGGGCATAGTGAAGGTATGGTCAATTTGCATCTTTATCTATTATATTATATTATATTATATTATATTATATTATATTATATTATATTATATTATATTATATTATATTATATAGGATAAGATACCTAGACTAGGCATCAAAGACATTGTATTCATTTTTCTTTTTACGGTGCCTTTACTGAACTGACAGAATCACTGTTACTTAAAATTTCTTCACTCTCTGATGCCTACAGTTATGTACCCAGATTCCAGGAAGGAAGCATGACTGACCTATGTTGGTCATGATGATCCTGTTCTCTGCCAAATTTCCCAGCTCTCCTTGCAGCTAGTCAGTCACTAGGTTTTGGCAAATTCGATTTAAGTGTATGGCTTTTGGGTATACTTCCAACAAAGCCACCTCTCCTTTCCTGCATTGGAGTGTGGCAGTGATGCCTGCAACCGTGAGGTGACAAGATGAGGACAGGATGCTGGGGCTGCAGAGCGGCTATAGAGGCTGGGAAGCACCTGGATGAGACTTCCGTCCTGAGCAGGACAGCTCTGGTCACCTGGAACCCTGCGTTCTCAAACATCTAGACGTGCTTTTGAAATGCAACAGATTTCCTTTTAAGTCCATGGCTGGGCTAAGTCAGAGGGGACCTGAAGGGGGATCTGGAAATTAGATTGTAAACTGGCTTTGAAGCTGTGGTTGCCTCATTTTCATAAAAGGAACTGGTTAACTAAGTTATGGTACATTCTTGAAATGGAATATTGTGCAGTTTTCAGTGTACCCTCATGGGAACTTCTCCAAGATATACTAAGGGGCAAGAGTAAGGTGCCAACGAGTGTTATTCGGTGCTATCTTTGGTACAAATAAAGGAGGTTATAAGAACTAAACAATGGAAGGGTACCCTGGACATGAATAAAACTAGTTGCCTGAGAATCAGTGTAGCAGAAACTGTCAGGCCCTCACCCCCTTTCCCCACCCCTCCCCTTCCCCTGTGCCCTTGCCAGACTCCTACTGCCAACATCGGCATCAGGCTGTGAGCAGCCCGCCACAAATGATTCTGCCCCTCAGATGAAATCATTCTGAAGTGTGTGCA